TGTGTGTGTGTGCGTGCATGTGTTTGTGTGGTTCAAAAGGCGTTTATTTGCAGGAATGGAAAATGCTAAAATTAGAAGATGTTGCTGGACAATAAGTTTGGATCGTCAGCTAAAAGTGTCGCGCTGCAAGCGTATGTCCCTGAATGTGTGTGTGTCTGTGTGTCTGTGTGTGTGTCTGTGTGTGTGCACGCTTGTTTTAAATCATCACTGAAACATTCTATAGAAAAGAATTAATAATTTCCTGAATTTGAGTCATTTCTCCGATCTGTTTTCGATTCAAAATATTAAAGGTTTGTGTCGAGGATGACTCAGCGACCACCAAACCAATTTTCAGCTCATCTGAAGCTGACCGAGTTACAGCGTTCTTCTGTTGGCTGAACTCAGTTGGCTGTGGTGGTCATCTTGAACATACCGACTCCAACGGTTGTTCATCCAATGAAGAATTTTATAAATTAATTCAATCATGCATTTTTTCAAGATATTTTGGTAACAGACTAACGCACATGTACAGAAAATTACATGATCCCCCTCCTTTCATGGCAGCAAGAAAGAGATATTTTACTTTCAATTGTGAAATAATTTGCAGGTATATTTAGGTAAAATAGTTTCTAATTGCACATATATATATATATATATATATATATATATATATATATATATAGCTGCTGAGAAAAATGTTCCACTCTAAATATCTAAATAAAGTTTTAAAATGTAGAAACATCTTGTTTAAATATTTAGTTTAAGAACTAAACAGGTGCTCTGCAAGAAGGCTTTGCATTGTTTTTCTGTTGGCTCTTCTCTTCTGCATGGGGCACCACCGACAGGAAACGTATGAAATATTTGTAATTGTTTTATGATGGATGTCGTTCCTGGCCCAACCTGGGCTCAAGCATGCAGTCTTGTGAGACTGCAGTACTAACCGCCGATCTACCTTAGCACCCTGCAGGATGGCTATAACTTTATCAGTAATAATTATCTATAATTTATTCATGCTTTAAAGATGTTTTGTGCATTTATTGTTTTAGTAATTTGATTTTTATCATTTCATGTTCTGCCAAACAACTTGTAATCATCTGTGGTTTTATATTCATCAAATGATTGTGTGTGATACATTCCCAATATAAAAATAAATTCCTAACAATAAAACTAATTCATTTATTTAGATTTAACTTTCACCGAGCTATGTTTTGTTAGGATGTGACTAGTTTGACTTGTTGAGTTTTGCATAATTAACGACAGACTGGAAATTGTTTAAATGTCTTCTGTTTTTACTGACTTGTTGTTTCAGATTCAATTCTGCAGCGTGCAGATGTTAGTCCTACTGGTGTCCATTTTTTTGCTGCAGTGCAGTGTCCGTGGAGTCCATCAGAACCCGGATCAGGTAAGACAAACATAAACATTAAAACCTGAGCCTGGTTGTCAAATAAGCTTTTGAAATTATACAAAAGAATTTATTTAGCCTAAGATCACAAATACATAAACACAGAGAAAAATTTGTTGTAGCACGAACATTGTCCCACTATGGGGCACCAATTACTGTGACATCCATCCATTATCTTCCACTTATTCTGAAGTTGGGTTGCGGGGCCGAGACATCTCTTTCCACAGTCACCTCTTTCAGCTCTTCTGGGAGGCCCCCCAAGGTGTTTCCAGGCCATCCGAGAGATGTAGTGTCTCCAGCGTGTCCTGGGTCTTCGGGGTCTCTTCCCAGTTGGACATGACCAAAGCATCTCCCTAGGGAGGAGCCCAGGCAGGAAGCATCCTTACTAGATGCCCAAACCACCTCATATGGCTCCATTTGATGTGGAGGAGCAGCGGTTCTAGTCCAAGTCTCTCCTGGATAACTGAACTTCTCACCCTATCTCTAATGAAGAGTCCAGCTACCCTACAGAGGAAACTCGTTTCAACCATCTATATCCACAATCTCATTCTTTCAGTCACTACCCAGAGTTTTTGACCACAGGTGAGGGTAGGAACGTAGATTGACCAGTAAACAGAGAGATTTGCCTTACAGCTCAGCTTCCTCTTCACCACAATGGACCAAAACAGAGTCTGAAATACTGCAGACGCTGCACCAATCCATCTGTCAATCTCATGCACCATTCTTTCCTCACTCATGAACAAAACCCTGTGATATTTGAGCTCCTCCACTTGAGGCAGAACCTCACCCTCGACCTGAAGACAGCCATCCATCCTTTTGTAATTGAGGACCATGGCCTCAGATTTAGAGGTGCTGATTCTCATCCCAGCTGCTTCTCACTTGGCTGCGAACCGCTCCAGTGTGCACTGGAGATCATGGCATGATGATGCCAACAGGATGACATCATCCACAAACAGCAGAGATGGAATCCTGAGGCCACCAAACTGGAATCCCCCACCCCCAGCCCTGGTGGAGTCCAACTCCCACCCTGTAGGGATCCAACTTACTACTGGCAATACGAACCAAACACTCACACCACTTGTATAAGGACCAAATAGCCTGTAGCAACAGGGCCCCAATCCCATACTCACTGAGCACCCCCTCCCCCCACACCCACACATTTTACCTCGAGGAACACCGTCAAAAGCCTTCACCAAGTCCACAAAACACATAGACTGGATGAGCAAACATCCATGACCATCGAGGACCCTAGTGAGAGTAAAGAGCTGATCCAGTGTTCCATGACCAGAACGGAACCCGCATTGTTCCTCCTGGATCTGAGGGTTGACCAGTGATCGGACTTGCTTCTCTAGTATCCCTGAATAGACCTTACCAGGGAGGCTAAGGAGAGTTTGCCCCATAATTGGAGCACACCCTCAGGTCCATAACAAGCAAAAATAAACAAAATCTGAATATTTTAAATACTGTAGTTTGTGTGTGTGTGTGTGTGTGCGTGCGTGCGTGCGTGCGTGTGTGTGTGTATGTGAATAACATCTGTTCAGATGTAGTTACATTTCCTATAATTATCTGATAGACTAAAAATCTTGCTGAGATTGATGACTTTCCTTTATCATGATATACAGCACAGAAACATATTACACACCCAATACTATGATTTTGGGTCTAGAAATTGGATTTTTATTCATAGAATTTTAAAAAGTCACCAGAGTACAAATAAGTATTTTTTAAGATATTTTAACAGTGAAATTTAGCTAATTCTGCAGAAATGTCGTTACAGTGTGAAGATGTCACAAAAACTGAAGTGTCCTCTTAAAGCAGAATATTCTCAGTGTTTCTTTTTTCAATAAAGATCTCGCAAAAAAAACAAAAATATTATCTTGTTGTAGAAATGTCCTCCCAGTGAGAGGATGTCTTCATTGGGAAGTATAGTAACATTGTCCCCACAAATAACAGGTCCCCACAAACCACAGGTCCCCACAAACGACCCCATAAATCACAGGTCCCCACAAATGACCCTACAAACCAGAGGTCCCCACAAATGACCACACAAACCAGAGGTCCCCACAAATGACCACACAAACCAGAGGTCCCCATAAATGACCCTACAAACCAGAGGTCCCCACAAATGACCCCGCAAACCACAGGTCCCCACAAATGGCCCCATAAACCACAAGTCCCCACAAATGACCCCACAAGCCGTAGGTCCCCACAAATGACCCCAAAAACCACAAGACCCCACAAATGACCCCACAAGCCACAGGTCCCCACAAATGACCCCACAAACCACAGGACCCCAAAAATGACCCCACAAGTCGCAGGCCCCCACAAATGACCCGATAAACCACAAGTCCCTACAAATGACCCCACCCACAAACCAGAGGTCCCCATAAATGACCCTACAAACCAGAGGTCCCCACAAATGACCCACAAACCACAGGTCCCCCCAAATGACCCCACAAACCAGAGGTCCCCACAAATGATCCCATAAACCACAGGTCCCCACAAGTGACAAAAATCTTTAAGCAGACATATGGAGACTAAATCATAAAAATAAATGTCCTCATAATTACAAAACTTTCCGTGAACTTTAGTTTTTTCTTTGTAAAATTGTCTGCAGTCCTGGGCTGGTGTAACTCCTGAAGGATCAGCGGCTCACATCATCCTAAGGGCCAAAACAAACGGCCCCTGCCTCAGGTGCCTCATGCTGACATTAGATCATGTGATTCAGCTCTGATCTGTTTTCTCTTTAGTCTAGAAGAAACTTGATCTCTCTGAGTATTCAGAGACAGAAGCGAACAGGAAGTAAGGATCTGCTTGCAGTTGGGCCCCCGAAGTGAAGGCCGATTCACACCCAGTCTACCCAATAAATAAAAACACATCCTGAGGTGGAGACAGAGCAGTGTGGTGCCTCAGCAGCTGAAGCTGATGAGGTTTTATAGATGATTTGATAGAAAATCTAAGATATTGTAAAGAATTTATTTCTACGTCTTCATCAGCAAATTATGAAAAAAGAAAAAACCACAACATTTTAAATCATGATATGTTCTAAAAGACAAACTGGTTTACATTCAGTATAACTATCCCACTCAACTTTAATTCCAACAAATATGTAGCATTCACATATTTTCTGCCCATTTATACCACAGTTATTTTTGTTCCAAGTACAAAGACGTTTCCCATTTTAATTTCAGCTAAATTAATAAACATATTTCATCATGTTGTTTTAATTTTTTTTCTTAATCAAAGTTTAATGGTTTAAAACCCTCCTTTAAAGTCTACTCTTTTTTTTTTTTTTACTCCAGTATATAGCCACATCCATTTTAAGGTTTATTCAGAATGTTGCATCAAATAATTTAATCTCACGTTAATGATCATTCTATCCAAAACAAGGACATTTCCTCGTTTTTCTAGCATTTAGTTTTATCCGATCCCAATTTATTCAATGCATGTTTTGGTTTCTGTATATAGACCTTTTCACAAAAAAAGTTTGTTAAAATTTATAAAGTTAATTAATTCAGTTTTATTTCACTAACTCACAACAAAAGTTGCCTCAACATTTTTCAGAGTCAAAGATATAAATCAATGTTATCTGAAAATAAACCTTATCCTTGTGTTCCAGCATATAGACCGGTCCATGTGGAGGTCTCTGGTGGCTCTCCGGCACCATCCTGGAGAGGTGAAGGCGGGGGTGGCGCTAACGATGAAGCTGCTCCGGATGGATGACCTGACGAAGATGGAGAATAATGTCATGGAGCTAAAACCAAAACGGAGCTTCCCAGGTAACAACGGTCCTCTGGACCGGCTGTCAAGCAGCTCCATGGAGGCCAGGCAGGGCAGGAAGAAGCAGAGGTAGAACTTACCTGTCACACCCATATCTATGGTCACACCTGTCTCAGGTGAAACTAACACTGTTGCACTGACTTGCCTTAAACCCAACTTTATTGTGTTTACAGTAAAGTTGCGGAGTTGCCACGGCGACGAGACAAGCCACCACCTATGGACAGAATTGGAAGAAGTCGTCTACCAACTACTCGAGGATAGGCCACGCCCCTCACAAAGAGCTCACTCCTCTCAGGAATGTCCCCTCTGGACAGGTGAGGAGCTGCCTGTCGGTCTCATCTATAAAAAAAATATTGAAAATTTAAGATGCTGAAATGTCTCTTTATCCTCAGTGGATATCACCTGATGAGCCACGCCTACCGTCACATGGCCTGGACACGCCCACCCCTTCAAAATTGATTTGTGGTGCATTTGAGTGCAGCTCAGAAAATTAATCAACCAGGAACCAAAACATGTCTTAAAAAAAAATCTTACATCTGAAGAAGCCTCACTTGAAATTCACAAACAAAAAATATTATAAAATAAATGTAAAGTACAGCTTTCATACTTTAAAATGACAAATTTTAATTATTTAGATGACGAAGTTACTTAAACTGAAACCTGGAGCTCTATAATGAGATCAGCATCCAAGCGCCTTGTTTATTTCAATTTAAACTTGCTTTAATGTTTCTGCAAAAAATGTAACAATGTTGCTTATTAAATGATAGTTTTGTGCTCCCTGAACATAAATAAAATAAATTGAAAAAAAAATTAAGGTAAAAACAAGATAATAATCACAAAGTTTGTTGACTCTGGGAACAATTTAGCATCATTTGTACATTTTAATCAATCAAGAAAAAAATGATTTTATGGATTGGCACACCTAATGTTTAAAAATACATTTCAATTAATTCCTAAACTTCATAATCATTTTTTCTTTTTCTCTATTTTTTTGGATCTATTTTTTTCTTTTCAGTGAAATTTGTTTAATTCTCATATCTTTTTATTTTTAATTTTTATTTTTTATCTAAAATTAATAAGTAAATTATCAAAGTAACTGGAATAAATATTAAAAATTTGGAGCATTTTGAAAAATATTTTTTTAAATATGAAAACATTAGAAACATTGGGATTTATTGGAAAAATTATCTTTAACATGAATCCTAAAATAAAATCCAACAGAAATAAGTTTTGTTGCTCAATTCCACTTGATAAACTTTTTATTTTGCTGTGAAAATGAATTACAAACGTGAAATTACTTTTTACTGCTTCCCCTGATTATGACACTGCTGACCGGAGGCGTTGGTCGCCTCGACTGAACGACAGATTATTGTTTCCTCTTTGCAGTTTTTCTCATCAAGGCAGTAAAAAATGTTTCCATGACAATAAACAAAAAAGAAACTGTCACAATGACACAAAAGTTTAAAATCTGTCAGATTTTCTTCCCGTCACACCATCTTTAAACCAAATTATTTTACTTTAATCTCCAAAATCTAGTTTATATGTTTTTAATGGTAGAAATTGGGCAGCTAAAATTGTTTTTTTATATAGTCCTATTTTAAGTTTTAGGATTTTCAAAAGTTATTGAAGAATTTTAATTAAATTTTCATTTAAATTTTCATTTTTACATTTGTTTACATGACTTGACCTTATTTAATATTTATAAAATGAGATAAAACAACAATTATACAAAAAATATTGTTGAAATGTATGCTGTTTCGCATTAGAAAAATAAAATCACAACAGGGTGTATGTTACCCACTAGTTCTGAATAGTGCTCTTCTTTTGACAGTCGTCCAAACTGGTGGCTAAATTGAGTTTCCAATTAATTAAAAACAAAAAAGTTTTCAAAAATGTTTCCATTAAGTTGTAAACTATTTAGAAATAGAAAGTTTCAATGACTTCTTCTTACGCGATCCCAAGTTTTTAATTGAGAGCAGTGTTGGGCACAGTTCTATTATTTAATTACAGCTATTAGTGGAAATAATTGTTCTTTTAGCAGGTGAGCGTTTCGCCATCTTCAGGAACCGTTAGCTGATTTCGGCTACTCCATATTGCCAATTTACGTCCACTAACAAAATCCACAAACTTTTTTTTTTTTTAACTTTATTTAACCTTAACAATACAAAACAAAAAGTACCAATCCTTACAATCGAAAGTTACAAAAGGTGATTCATAACATAAAAGAAATAAAGAAGGATAAAAAAAAAGGCATTATATGAGGAAATTGAAATTAACCAAGAAACTAAGAAATTTGTCTGCATTTTTTCCTTTTACATATTTTAAAGATTTTGCATATTTAGCTCATTCTTCCAGTGGTTCACATTAAGTTTACATTTGAAAAAACGACATTTATGAACATAATGTTTAGCTAATACAACCAAATTATTGATGGCATATTCATTATTTCCAATCTTATTAATTAACCCAAACTTGATTTCTTTTAAAGTTATAGCTGAATCCCTTTGGATTGGATCCACATTTTAAAATCAAGCCCAAATTGCTGAACTCTCATGCGATCAAAGAAAAGATGTTCCAGGTTCTCACTCTGTCTCACAGAAAACACAACTCCCAGTGTCCATTTTAAATTTTGTCCTTAGTAGGATAAATTCTATTTAAGATTTTAAATTGAATTTCTTTGGCTTTAGGAAGAACGGGAAATTATATAACATGAGTTCTGATCTTTTTGATGTCTTCTCTACTAAAGTCCTTCAGAATATGTTCTCTCCTAGTGAAGTTAGAAGAGAAGTGCTGCAGTAGTTTGTTTCTCAAACATTTATTGTTACATTGATAGACAGAGAAAACAACTCCATCAATCCAGAGTTGTTTCAGACCAGGGGAAATATCAGAGAATATAATATCTTGTCTCACCACAGCCCTGAGAGAAACTGGAATAGCCTTTAAAATTTGGTTATATTTAATCTCATCACAAAGGATCTGAAATGTTTTACAGAACTCCTCATATTGTAAAATGTTTCCTTCGTTGTCCATAAAATGGGCCACGGCCCACACGTCTTTAGAACACCATTCCTCAATAAATATAGATTTTTTTTATTAATCAGAATGTATTTATTGTTCCACACTGGTGTGTTGTGTGAAACTATGGCTGAAAACGAGTTTCCAGTAAAGAAGAACCTGTTCATGAAAATCTGAAAGTTTCACCGGCAATCTGCTAAACTCAAAATCACATTGTAAGAGAAAATTAAGTCCCCCTGTCTTATTAAATACCAAATTGGGCATATATGACCAAATTGAGAGATTATTATTTAGCAAAAATTTTAGCCATTTAAGTTTTAAGGTACCGTTCATAATTTCAAAGTCATTTCAAAGGCATTCCCTCCACCGTCTTCGTAGGTTTTAATCAGGTCATCTTTACGTATAAAGTGATTTTTTTCTCCTCCAAATGTAATTACAATTTAAAGTGTTAATAGCCTTTATCATCTTGGTTGATATAGGAAGGGAATAAGCTGGATAAATAAATCTGGAGAGACTGTCCATTAAAATCCTACCAAAAATTGAAACGTCCCTCTCTGACCATTTATTTAGAATCAACGTACATTTGTCAATATCATTCCAAATATTCACCTTATCAGAAACCATTTTATCCTTTGTTATCACTACTCCCAAGTATTTTACCTCTTTTTTAACATTTATGTTACATAGTGATGGCGTCGGCTGGTCCTTCAGGGAAAACAGCTCACATTTATTAATGTTTAATTCAAGCCCAGAGGCTTTAGAAAACAGATTTATGTGCTAAAAGAATTTGATCTTCATTTCTCAAGAAAAGGGTTGTATCATCAGCCAGTTGATTTATTATTATTTGCTTGCCCATTACATCAAGTCCAGTTATTCCACTGTTTTTAATTAGGATGGATCTCTGCAACCATTATGAATAACATGGGTGAGCGTACACAGCCCTGATGGATTCCTCTATTAATATTGAATCTGTTACAGGGTTACTCGGCTGTTTATGCTTTTATACAGCATCTTAATTAAATCCCTGAATTTTTCTCCAAATCCTAAATGAGTAAGTGTTTCAAAGATAAACCCACTAAACATTAGACGTCGAATGGATCGGCTTCCGTACACGTGATGAGACATGATGGTCGACGCAGCTTCAACTGGAAGATGAAGACATGTCGTTAGCAGTTTGACGAGCTATTTTTATTGGTCAGCGGAGTTAGCAAAGATAATCTTTTGGTTAACAAGTGTCCACCACAGAGTTTATCAACTCAGACCTGTTACTTTTGTTTTTTATTATCTGAACATCTTCACTCGTTATGGACAATTTGGGCTCGTTACTTGCTCCGTATGCACCAATGAAACCCTGAAAATAAAACTTTGATGTGGAAAGTTTGACCTGATGTTGCTGCAGTAAAATGTCTGCAAGAAAACTGGACTTCCTGTTTGTTGTTCTTCCTCTTTGAAAATAAAACTTTATCAAAACAAGCATGGTAATTCACAACACAGTGTAATTGTATAGAGGGATAGCAGAGGCAGATTTAGATATGAACATCAAAAGCAAAACTGATTTAAATAAAATAAGGTAAAATAAAAATCTACAATAAGGGGTTTTATATATATATATATATATATATATATATATATATATATATATATATAGGATTATGATCAGAATGCATTAGTGGGCAACTCCATTAACATTTCATACAGCTACATGCGTTACATACTGTTTGTAAGATGACTTTTTTTTTTATATAAACTTTATTTCAACCAGACAATATTACAAAAATCTTCCAATCCAAAGAAGCATCAAAACACAATTAAAAGATACCTAACTATCACAGACCCGATCAAACTAGACCTCACAGTTCTTAACTAACTATAAATGCAACTATATCAACAAATATACAAAAATAACTTCAAGTTTAAATAGCAGAGGATCTGAAACATTAAACAAAGAAATACAATACAAAGAGAAAAGGAATAAACAACAAAGGGATTTGATTATAGGATAAAATTAAATTTATGCAGAAGAGTTTTTGTTCTTAGAAGTTTTTTATTGTTAAAATTAAGCTTTTCAATAGAGGCGATATATATTTTTAGGTCAGTTTCTTTAAAATTATTAAATGAGGGTATTTTTTCATCCCACTTCATTTTGTGTATATAATATTTTGCTATGATTATAATTAGATTTATTATAAATAGTTCGTCTGAAGAAAAGAATGAATTATTAAAGATGAGCAATATTTGCATTTTTGATAACACGATGTACTTTTTAATTTTTTCAGTAAGCAGTTTTTGTATTTCAGACCAGAATATTGTGAAAACAATCTACAAATAGATGTTCGATAGTTTCGCCTTCACTCTGGCAAAAACAGCAGCTTTTGTTGACATTTGGGGAGAAACGGCCAATGTAGTCTTTAACTGGATAATATCTATGTAAAATTTTAAATATAAATTCTTTAATTCTATTAGATAAAATATATTTATAGGACAAGAAAATTTCACTCCATAGTTTATTGCGTAAGTAGCCCCATCTTATTTATGGGAGTAGAGAAAGTAACTGAGATCTGATAAACCTGTTATTAAAATGTTTATGCATTTTATTAGTACCTTCAATAGAAACTGCATCATAAAAGTATAATTTGTCTGGTTTGTGCTAGTGCATGTAAGTTATGAGGAATAGAATTAATGACCAAATCAAATTCTTTTTGAGAAATATCAATATCATTAATGTTAATAAAATTCTCTTAAGTATACCATTCACCATTAATGTCAACTGCTTTATCAAATACTTTTGTTAGTCCAATTATGTAAGTATAATGATATGTTCTTATATAAAATATAAGCATTATTCCATTTGATGCAGTTATGAGGAGAGTAATTATGTTTATATAGCAGAGTCCAACATAAGAGTCTGTTGATGGAACTTAGCCAACTTGATTTTAAGTTTTCCAACTAAGACCTGCTTGTACAAGGACTTCCTGTTCGCAGCAGGTTGCACTTCTTGCTTGTAAAAGGACTTCCTGTTCGTAGCAAGTTGCACTTCCTGCTTGTACAAGGACTTCCTTTTCGCAGCAGGTTGCACTTCCTGCTTGTAAAAGGACTTCCTGTTCGCTGCAGGTTGCACTTCCTAAAATCATCTTGTTCACTGAACTTATGAAGTTTTTCTTATCAGTTTTAATTTCAATAACAACAATCAGATTTATCTGTTCTCTGCATTTTTGTTTTTAAACCTTTGGAATAAAATAATTTACCAGCAGTTAAGCTTTAACAAGATACGAGATCCGCACAGAGTCACCTTATCGGATGATTTCTAAATAAGCTAACAGCTGGCGTGAGCTAATGTTAGCAGTTTGATACAGGGCTGCTCCACAGAACATTACGAGTGTGGAACAAAAATAAACAGTCTGTGTTTTAAAAACAGTCTGTTTGGTGTAAAAAATAACAAGTCCAGTTCAGGTTTGAACAATCTGCAGGTTTTGAAGAAGCTGTTGGATTAAAATAAAATAATCAGCCATTTACCGAGCTGTCAAATTAAAAAACTAACTTCAGTGTTATGGCTTTGAGCAAAAGGATGACAAAGCTAACCGCTCGCAAAAGCTAAAGACATGAGAACTAGACACCTAGCTAAATGTAGCTGTAAACAAAGCTATCTTTATTAGCATTGTTTTTATTAGCTTAAACAAAAATAAACGACCAGAATCCGTTATCGGTAATGCTAGCTCCAGTTAGCAGCACAGATACAGCTCAACGCTAAAGCTAACGCTAACAGAAGAAGCAGACGGGGATCGTTTGAGTCGTTTAATGAAGTTTACAGCAAACGATCACGTTCTGACAGAAGCCCTTCAGAAAGAGGCTGAGCTGAAAACCTGAGGAGGGAAAAACTGGGATTTGTTCGGGAACAAAACATTACAAATAATAATAAATCCTAAAAAAGTAAAGATGGAGTCAGAGCGGCATCCGGTTGCCTTCCACGCTGATCTTCACAGCGTGACCCGTCTTCGTCAGCCGCCGGATGTCTGCAAATCTTCTCATCTGTTTATCGACCCGGGACATTCCCTTTTTCATGGGACCCTGCGGGACCAAACGCACCAAAACAGAAACGTTAGATAAAATATAAGGAAATAAAGGTGAGGATGACTGAAGCGGAGCAGCGTTGGTTTTGGACCGCAGGCAGAAATATTTATTTGCATTAAAAGTAAAGAACAGGATCCGGCTGACTCTTTGGTTCCCGTTTGTGTCCAGAGGATCCGCTCCATCAAACTAAACGTTTTTTAAACCCAGCTGCATTTATTTACTGCTTTAAAGCCCCGCCTGGAGGAAGAGGTGTGCTCAGCCCGAAGCCGGGTTAATTATTAATCACTGAAAGGCCGCGCTGTTAGCAAAATATCAACCACTTCACAAGTTTTATTGAAACACCGACCATCTTTTGATTCAAGCTGGCCACGGCCATTTTCCAAACGCTCCAGTTTAGTGTGGTAGTAGCCGAGAGTCACAGCCGACCCTCCAGAACCAGCTCAGCTCCACCACACCATGCAGACTCACTGCCCCCTGCAGGCGAGCAGCAGGAACTACAGCGGCATCCTGTTCCCCTCGATGCTGATCTTCACCGCTCCCTGCGGCCGACGCATCTTCCTCTGCTCGGCGAAGCGTCGCTTGTGTTTCTCCAGCAGGCCGAGGGCTTTCCTGTAGCCGCTCTACAGAGAACCAATCACAGCTCAGCTCCTGAGCCCACCTGAGCTTCACACCTGCAACCTGCCCTACGCAGTCTGGATGGTCTTCAGACACAGATCTCCCTCTGCGTTTGTTAAACCAGTATCTCAGACAACCTTCTGAGGTGGTCTGTGGTATGGGTTCTGGGCTAACATGAGACCCGTACTGAACTGTGCCCTGTAGGATTGTGGGTAATTTTTAGTTGTGTTGTTAGCTGCTGCCTGTCCTAACATGAACTCAGCTCAGTCTGGACCCATTTATCTACGTCAGAACACATCTGTCCAGAGCCCAGCTGCTGGACCTCCAGCTGGACCGAGGTGACTCTACAGGTCATCCTAGGACCTACCTCCTGATATTTGAAAATAAATTTGGATGTTTACGAGGAGTCTTTGAATGCACCATGAAGTCAGTTTTTATTGAAGTTTGTTAATTATTTTTAATTTGTTTGGTTCCGGCTGTTTGGATCTTTGATGACTCTGCAGAACTCATGCTCCTCTGTTTGTTTCAAATCTTCTCCAGGAAATAAAAAAACACGTTTGTCCAACTCACCCGACTCGAGTCTCCCTCAACGTTCCATTTGGGCCGGACCACGTAGTCTTTGTTGGAGGGCATGGGGACCCGGGCCCTAGCGCAGAACCCTGGGTCACCAGGTCTCAGAGCTCTGCAGGGAGGCAGGAGGACCCGGATTTAAACATGACCATGGAGGCAATCAAGAGAAAGACGGTACCGATAGAACCCGTTTGGGTTCTGTTCACTAAAGAGCTGAAAGTGGACTCACTTCTCCTCTCCCGTTAGCTGCTTCTCCAGGTCTCTGCGAGGCGTCTGACCTCCTGAGCTGCAGACAGAACAAAAGGACAGAAACCGGGTCAGAGTCCGACTGATTCTGGGTCAGAGTCCGACTGAGTCAGAAGGTTTCAGGCCTCGAGGCGGTACCGGAGAGCTCCTCTGAGCTGCAGCTCCAGCAGCGTCTCCATGCGGTTATCTGCGTTCTCCACCTCACAGCTGTTAATCAGAACCTTTACGAGCCCAGCAGAACGGCGGACCATCTCAGAACCGTACCTGGTTCTGGCTTACAGGACCAGAACCTGCAGGTTGTTATGCTGCTGTAATAAATAAATGAAAATGGAACTGCAGGTTCTGTTCGTTTACATCCAGAACCGCCTGCACGAACAAACTGAAACTTTTACTGAAGATCAGACTCAAAAGCCTTTACAAGATATTTCATCAAATCAATATTTTAATTTGAACTTATTCTTTATTAATGTTTCTGATTCTCTTGAATCGATTATTGAAAGATTTTCCATGTTTTTATATTTTTCCAATTGTTTACTACGATTCATAATTTTACATCTTTGGTTTCTTCTGTCTTTTTGTATCAGTCAAACTTATTTTATCAATTCCATTTTTAGTTTTTAGTTTTCATCCAGTAAACGTTCTTCAGTATTTACTGGAGACAATTTATATTAAAATACTTTTTTTAAGCATAAACTTATTAATAAAGCGAGTATTTCTGTTTTATATCCAGCACCAGAGTTTCTGCGTCATTTGACAAACAAGCAAACTGAAGCACGAACACAGAACCTGCTGCAGAACCAGGTTATGGTCCAGAACCTGCTGCAGAACCAGGTTAGGGTCCAGAACCTGCTGCAGAACCAGGTTAGGGTCCAGAACCTGCTGCAGAACCAGGTTATGGTCCAGAACCTGCTGCAGAACCAGGTTATGGTCCAGAACCTGCTGCAGAACAGGGTTAGGGTCCAACTCACAGAGCAACATGCAACTTTCTGACTGAACCTGGTGGGTGGAGAGAAGACATCGGGTTCCTCTGTCCTCTCCACCTTCTGAGGCTCACTGGGAGTAGAAGGATGGAGGAGGAGGATGAAGATGATGATGAAGATGATGGAGGAGGGGTTGGAGGGAGAGATGGAGTGAGAAGTCACGAGGGATGAAAGAATCAAACTGAGGAGGATTCATCTCAAACCAAGCTTCAGGAGAATTTTAATCCGGCTGTTTTCAGGTTTGTGTTGAGCGGGTTCTGGTTCTGATGGGCCCTAAATGCACTGATCATCATTAAAGGACACGGTTCACACTCCGGAACCAACGTTTTACTTCATGTTCCTGATACAGGAAGTGATTTTTATTTTCCCTTCTGTGTTTACATCAGTCATATAAACCATAAACTTTTATCACAAACAGGAACTTTAAAAAAAAAAAAAAAGTTTCCTGGTGTTTCAGCTCCAAGACAAACCGTTGATTTGACACCAACAAACATCTGGAGAACATCTGAGGATGAGGAGGGAGGATGAAGGACAGACAAAAGTGAAACTAAAAACTGAACTTTGAGTAAAGTCTTGGTCTGAATCACCACCTTGTTGTCGTGGAGGAGACTCCAGGAGTTCGGGGTCTGTCTCTCGGGGCTGACAGGCCAGACAAGGAGTGATTTAGAATACATGAATGGACAAAAGACGACAAGGGACAATGTCCACTGCGCGGATGCAACTTATTGGGGCCCCACCCTGGAACCAGGCCTGGGGGAGGGGCTTGTCGGCAGCTGCCTGGTGATCATCGACTCAGCCCAAATGAGTTAAATGGGTTTGCCTTCCTGCTTTGAGTCGGGTGCACGGTGCCATGGACGGTGGCCTACGGCGGGGGCCTTGGAGCTCTGACCTTGGAGCTCTGACCTTGGAGCTCTGACCTTGGAGCTCTGACCTTGGAGCTCTGACCTTGGCTTACCAAAGGTGGCTCTTGGGACATGGAATGTCACCTCAGTGGGGAAGGAACCTGAGCTTGTGCACGAGGTTGAGAGTTGCTGACCAGGTTTAGTCGAGCTCACCTCAATGATGGTACGGGCTCTGAAACGAGGGGCTGGACCTTATTTAGCTCTAGAGTTGCCTAAAGTGAGAGGCGCCAGGCTGGTGTGGGTCTACTGACACCCCCTGGCTCAGTGCATGTACAGGGGGTTTCCCTGGTAGATGAGAGGATCGCTTCCCTACGCTTCTGGATGGGAGAACGGGCTCCGACTGTTTGTGCCCGAGTACTGAACAGCAGTTCAGAGAACCCAGGCTTCTGGAAGTCGTGCTCAAGCTGTGGACTTCTTCATTCTGCAGGGGGACTTCAGTGATCAGGTGGGTAACGACGGCGTGATCTGGAGGGTGTGGCCGAGAGGAACGGCCCCCCCTCTGATATGAACACAAGCGGTGATTTGTTATTGGACTTTTGTGTTAGTCGTGGTTTGTCCATCACAAACGCCACGTTCGAACAAATGGGTGTCCATTAGTGCACGTGGCACCAGGACAGCCTAGGACGCAGATGGATGTAGTTGCGTCATCAGTCAAATGTTTTGAGCATCGGGTGAAGAGAGGAGCCGAGCTGTCAGCTGATAGACCCGGTATACACAAACGTTAGCGAGGGTTTGCTCTTGAATCCATTTTTCATTTAAAGATTTTCCACATCTTTATATTTTTCCACTTGTTTACCATTTATTCATAATTTTACATCTTTGGTTTCTTCTGTCTTTTTGTATCACAAACTTCTTTTATCAATTCAATTTTTATTCTTTTTTAGTTTTCATCCAACCAGTAAACATTCTTCGGTATTTACTGGAGCCAATTTGTATTAAAATCCTTTTTAAAGCATAAATTTATTAATAAACGAGCATTTGTTTTCTGCGTCATTTGACAAGTAAACAAACTGCAGCACGGACACAGAACCTGCTGCAGAACCAGATTATGGTCCAGAACCTGCTGCAGAACCAGATTATGGTCCAGAACCTGCTGCAGAACCAGATTATGGTCCAGAACCTGCTGCAGAACCAGATTAAAGATCTTGAGGCGGAGTTCCTGAGTGACGTCCATCATTTCGCTGGAGTCAAACCACAGTAGAGTGGTTGTACTGGGTAGGAATTATGTGTGCAATGTTTCGGAGTGTGAACAATGGGTTTTTGTGGGGGGGGGTTCCCGTTTTGGCTTCATTTATGTTAAAAGTCTCTGTTATTGGCAGTAAACTGAGCCAGAGACGGTTTGTGGTGGATATGAGGAGAGAAAATGCACCGTGTGGCAAAGTCAAAGGCCGGTGCTCAACTTGTCTTAGCTGTGCACAGTGTTGCTCCGTGTAAATCAGAATAAGATTTATCATCATTGCACCAAAGTACAGTGAGATTATATTCTGTGCAGTCGTCTGAAAGATGAGCGGAGTGCACGGGACAAATCATTGTCCCGTATGATTTTAGTGTGAAGAACGGTCCTTAAAAAAATAAAATAATTAGCGGACATGAATTAACTGGATTTAAACTTGGCAGAAGCCAATTCCCCCAAAAGGTTTTAAACGTTAGCGAAAATGCTAATCTGCTAAACGGAAAGTTAGTTCCACTTTTAGCAGATTAGCAAAACCGTGCCCACCATGGGCAGAACCATATATGAACTTAATGAGATGAGGGTTCTGTGAGCAGAACCGAGCAGTCGGGTCTGATGTGTACCTGAGCCGGCGTCTCTGAGGAGCCTGCTGGTCCAGATCTCTCTGCTGCCGCTCCTCCCGGGTCATTCCTTTGTAGTTGGATGTCAAACCGAAGATGGGCCGAGACCACTCATCTGAGCAGAACACACAGCTCCAGAAATCAGAACAGGTCCAAAGGCCCGTTTCATATTTCAGTTTGTATCAGAACATCTTAAAAATAAAATAAAACTGGGAGACCAAAATGCATCACACCATGTGGGTTGGTTACAGGAGTTACAAACCGGATTCCAAAAAAGTTGGGACACTAAACAAATTGTGAATAAAAACTGAATGCAATGATGTGGAGGTGCCAACATCTAATATTTTATTCAGAATAGAACACAAATCACAGATCAAAAGTTTAAACTGAGAGAATGTTTCATTTTAAGGGAAAAATCTGTTGTTTCCAAATTTCATGGCGTCAACAAATCCCCATAAAGTTGGGACAAGTCCATTTTTACCACTGTGTGGCATCCCCCCTTCTTCTTACAACACTCAACAGACGTCTGGGGACAGAGGAGACCAGTTTCTCCAGTTTAGAAATAGGAATGCTCTCCCATTCATGTCTAATACAGGCCTCTAACTGTTC